TACGAGAGGTTTTTTTGCATAGAATAAATCTAACATAGTTTACGATGCCCATGAGTACAAATTAGGCCTTTAGAACCTTTGTCGGAAGCAAGAAAAAAAAGGCGAGAAAAATTTAGTAGGAGAGAACGAGATAACGGCCGATTTATTTCCCTTTCATCCAACAAATGCGTATGCAAAAATGCCATTTATTTTGTGTCAATACGCATCAGCATGTACAGAGTGGGAGGCAAAAAAACTTGTACAATCCGTCTGAACCTTGGCTAAGTGTTTCTAAGAGAGTGGATGCGCAATTGCGAAATACACAGCTCACCAAGACACACTTTTACCTACCATATGGAAGAATTAACTCGTACACTTCTATCTATATATATATAGAAGTTGATAGTTATTACAAATTGACCCGAAAGGATGAAAGGGATCTGTCACACATGGTCTAGGGGCCGACGTTTCTCTCCCTCACTACCTGGCGACAGGTATCTGAACATTGGCTCCAAAAGCGATCACCGGGCCGAAATCTCGGGAAACATCGCTAGGTACGACGCTCTGGCGCCACGTTAGAGGTACTGCGCTCAATTTACGTCTTTATGCAAATCCAGTGCCATAGGTTTTCTCTTCAGCGTAAGTGCAAGTTTCGTAGAACCGATTTTCGTAGCCACTCACCAAAATGTCCAAAAATAGCCTTATTGGCAGATTTCTTTTTAATTCTCTCATTTTTCTCGTATCAGGTGTTTTTTCAAGACTTGTTTTCTTGTATTTCTTGCATAGAGGAAATCTAACATGGTTTAAGACTCCATGAATGCAAATAAGATTTCATCGATGTAAGCTTACCACTCAGGTCTGGGCATTTCCACTGCGGCAGGGACAAAATGGAAAAAGTTGGACCAACAAAAGCCAAGGAACCTCCTCCTTGAACAATTGGAAGCCTGAAACAATTTAAATTATCTTTCATTGAAAGAGCTGAAACGATATATAGGTAAACAACTATAAAACAAAGTTTACATTGCTATCACAACTTTCATAGTTCAACAACTCGTTGTAACATTATGTTGAACAGATCTAGAGGCTATGCCTTTCGCGATATTAGTTAGAATAATACATATATATTCCGTTCACTATTTGATCAGCCTTGCTTTTTTTCATTTGCATTTCTCTGTAACTGTTGATCATATCCTTCATCGGAATCCGGTGCTTCTCTTTGCTACGTTTTGTTCTGGCCAACACAACTGGATTTCGAAGTGAACGATTCACTGTTGTATGCTCGCCTCTTTGTCGAAATCTTAAAATTGGTTGTTGTTTTGCAGTGAACGACATTGTACACTGAATGCGTTCTGCATTCCGCACGTGCTCGTTAGTTGCACGTGCAGCAAGATTATTTTCTTCCCTCATTATTAAGCCAAAAGCGTATTTTTTATCATTGTCGTAACAATAATCTGTCCCTATGGCTTCAACTTCTCTTGCCCTTGCCCACAATTCAAAAATTACAGCAAAAGAAATATATTAACCTGACACCAAACGTAGTCTGTAACAATGTAGCAATTCCAGATACGAAGAATATAGTGCTCAGGATTTCACTGATGACAAGTTTGTTGCCTTGAAAACACATGGGAATTTGTAAAATGAAGGGAATCGCCAATGTTGATCCAAGCATGGTTAGGAAATGCTGAAAATATTAGGAACAATGTTAAAAAGAGAGAAATACTGTGGTCACCAATTAATCTAGACGAATCCGAAGACTAAGTAGTTAAAAGAAGCAAAGCACATCTTCAGCTGTATTTGCCTACCTGAAAAGCCAACCATATGCAAAGATACCATGGGGGATGTTCGTTGACAAGGTAAGACAAACCAAACGCTTTTGGCTTTTCCCTCTTGCTCGGCACTTTCCTATTTCGCACGATCACCTTCAAAGAACACAACTAAAGAATTAATTCTTTGACAATAGGAAAGAAGGCTTTAAAGTCTAAGCGTAAAGCATGCCGGTTTGACACCATGGGTACAAAAACAGTGACTAGTGCCAGCTCTCTAGAGCTCTTAAGGCCAAGGATAGTTGGACACGAGGGTCGGGTGGGTTGAGAGAGATGCTCCTTCTTACCACGATAATTACTTTGACGACTAAGGAATGCGAATAGTTAATTCGTGGAATGCTTAAAGTGTGAAAATGGGAAACAAATGCCGTTTTCCAGGCAAGAATTTTAAATGAATTTTAAAAAGATGTCAAAAGTATTGAAAAAAGTGTTAAAATAATGACAAAATACAACTTTATCTCTTACCGGCTCCAGCATGAAGCTGGTTTCCTCTTCCACTTGCTGTCTATCCACAGTGTACTGGTTATCATTTTCCGCCATTTTGCCTTTTCAGTATTCTAATTTCATGAATGACAAGAACATTTATAGAACACTCGTACTCAAGTATGAAAGATCGAAAGCATGCTTGACTTCCAAACTTATATTTGCATCGTTAAAATTTCCCAATGAGTGTGGCCATTCTTTGACCATACGAAACCGAGCAGTAGAAATATAACATTGAATTATTGATGAAGTCCTAAACTGACTTATCACTTCTCCTCTTAGAGTTGAGCGCTCTTTTAAATCAGTTCTACTAATAAACATACGCAGTGTGTGTGTGTATATATATATATATAAATATATAGTTTGTACAAAGGAGAATGGACTACATCTGTTCATTTGAATCCTTTATATACACTCCCACTTCCTAATAGTGTATACATGACAAACTTCCTAACAGACCGATTTTGAAAATGAAAAATTGCGTTCCCTAGAGGGAAATTTTGAATTATACTATTTTGACCTGTTTCCTCCAAACCTTAAAATGATCTTGTCGATGGGTCTGGGAAAAGCCATTGTTTCGGTTGTGTAGTCATTCGGGGAGAATAATCATGGGATCCCAAACCACTTAATCAAGTATTTCCTTAGGCCTCACTGCACAAACCGACTAAAATATGTCATTCAACCAAGTTGTCTTATTTTGAATAAAGGGAGCGCAGAACATCCTTCAATAGGAGTCCAAGTCAAAGCTTAAATTCCATGCTATCTTCAGCCGAAGAACTCTCGACCTTAATTGGCTTCGTGGAGGGGAAATTTGCATATGTCTCGTATTAGCGGAATTATTGCATTTCAAACTTAAAAGTCGAATCTCGAGCGCGATTTACGCAAGAAACTGACATAAAATCAGTTACAAAGGGAAATCGGAAAATTCCTCACACCCTTTTTAGGTCTTTTATCTGTCAATCAGATGCAATAAAAAGGAAGTGAATATTTAACAACGCGAAAGGGCTGGAGCTTCAGCAGTAAACCCGATACCTCTGAGTTCGAGAGCAAAAAACTTAAGCGCCTTTTGAAATTCGATGAAATAAAATCTTTTATAAGGTAATTTAGTCTTTTAGCTTTAATTTGATATATAACTTGCCTTTGTAGCGAAAATACTCGCGCGACTAGAATTTTTTTCTGTGGGCACCTCGTTTCCTTTTACCGAGACCTTAAGCTAACAGTTTTAGCAAATTCAGGAATCCAGGATTAAAAAGCTTTCACTGCACTAGTTACTATTTAAACAGAAAACGAGATTTCGCCTCGGCCAAACGTTATTGGGGCTCTTATACTGAGTGAGTTTGTCCTCAAATGCATCTGCAATCACATCTTTTTGTTCTCACTGTACACTTGCTACATTTGCTAAGGTATCATGGTGTTGTGAGCTGATATCCCCAGAACGAAATAGTTACCAAAACAGGCGGCGTACGAATTTCAACACTGATTTATATATGTGGTTTAGTTTCCCATTCAAAGCTTTTTGGCTCAGCCAAAGCGGCTCTTCTCACCTTGATATCTCCAAGGAGCCTGGTGGTTTGATTCCAAAATTGAAGGAACTGTTTATGAGAATCATCCTCTAGCAGTCATTAAATTGCTTCGTGACTATAGATATAGAGTAAATTCCTCGCTTCACAGGTATCCTGATGCATGGCAACGGAACATTGTTTCCATTTAATAATTTGGATTATTTTGGTGAAATCAAAGATCACGCGAGGAGTTTCGCGAAAATTTCAAATATTTTAGATATTCTTTGCACTGTATTGTCCAGGATAGTGGAATAATAGCATGAAATACTGACTGTATTGACTGAACTTCTGTTGTAATTACAAAACGTTGGTAATTAAACTTGTGAGCAAGCAACCGACGTCAACGCTCTCAGGCGTCTCCTACTTACGATTTTCAAAAGATAACTACGGCCCAATTATCGGAGAGGAGCGTCAATTCATCAACAGGAATCCTTTGTAGCGTTTTACTCATCCGTATAATTAAATTCCATCAGTTTATGGTCGAAAAAGGGTCATCAACTAACAATCTGGCCATACACATAACTATCCTTATAATACAAACATACATATATTTCATTGAAAGGCGCGCGCAATAGGTGGTTTTCATGCAGTCTTGGGAGACACAAATAACAATGGTGAAATGAACAAATGCTGGTGGACAACCAAAACGAGCTAATGAGCGATCTTTTGTTTACCGTCCACCAGCATGGCGGCGATGAAGTAACGTGAAAATCATCTATATATAACACAAACAAAAGAGCTGCTTTTGTACATATTTGTGAAATCTTCAACATTTTGCGTTCATTTCGCCACATTGTTATCCTTGTTTCAAAGAAATTGATATTGAGCACTAATTTTGTAATAGTGACTCACATGGACTAACAGCAGTTTTGAGGCTAATTACAAGGCAGTGCAAACAATGAGTCAACAATGTTTATCCAACTTCTACCACTCCTTCGCTCGTCTGTGGTCAGTCGGCTGGTTGGAAGAGCTTATTTAATGGGCAATTTGTGATTCAGCAGTGAGCCGCGCGATTATCGTATTAAAATCGTTCTTTCTTGATCTTAGAAATCAAATTTCTGTAAAAGTTGACGGCTTAAACGCTCCATTGGCTTGCTAATGATTGTTTTGTGGTATGATAATAATGCTTTGCGATAAACTCTGAAAAAGTTACAAGAAAATGTGTTTAAGGTAACATCTTTTTTCAGCCACGGTCTCCAAACGCAGTTAACGGTGGTTAAATTCATAACTTCTGACGTCTGTCACGGTCTCCAATCGCCTTAACTTCACACAAAGGTGCGTGTAATTCATTCACAAACTGAATCTGTCAGAAAAGAAGGGAATATTTATTTTATTTTTATTTTTTTTCAGACTCTGCTTTCTAAAAAAATCAGGACCAGGACAGTGGGGCAAAGGGGCGCCCTTCTCTTCCCGTGAAAGGGAGATAGAAAAAACCTTCTGAGGTCAGCTACTTTTGTTTTTTTTTTTTCTTTTTTTATTACTTCTGGAACATTTATCCATATTCAACTATTTTGGCTTTATACAAATCCTTGATGTTTTTTTATAGAGTCTGTGCGCGGCGGCCCTGTTGGAGGAGTAAACAATAACAATATTTGTTTTCCCAAAGGAAAATAGTTTTATTGTTTTACTCCTCCAACATGGCCGCCGGAACGGGCACATACTCTATAGGTGCCCTGCTTGATGTCAGTATTGCTTGGTGCATTAAACAGACCATCTATCTTCATTAAACTTTCTCTCTCATGTGTTTCCCCGAAATTGTAATCAAAATGATACAATATCTTGTGGGATTGGTGTTACGTGGATTAATATCAACATTTGTTTACGTATTAATTACGGATGATCGGCTATTTCAATTACCATTAAACCACTGTTTGAAGTCACTGAACTCTTACCATTCATTTTAAGCCAAATAAATTGCCTTTGTGATTAAAATATATATCGCCAGAAGGTCCATGATTTTACACAGAGAGTTCTTTTGTTGTTCATTAGAGAACAATGCTGACTCTTAACCTAAAGGAACTATTTTGTGTACGAACGTAGAAGGCAAGTCATCTGAAAAACAATGAAGCCTTGACTGAGACTAAACAATAAAGAAATTTTGGGGAATTTTAATTTGCTCACGGATCGATCCAGTTTTAAAAATTAAGAGATTTCAATGCGAGCTCAAAGTAGCAGGTTGAAACTTTTCATACGCATCACTGTAGATGTTATCAAGAGTTACGAATGCACGACGGACAAGTGCAATAAAATTCCGTGGGCAATGGGTGGTAATATGCTTTGCTTGAATGCAGAAACCCTGTTGACACCTCAGTTAAAATATTGCAACAAGTTTCATCTCACTGGAGTTGAACACGAGCTTCCCAAGTCCTCAATGAAAGATATTATGATATATCCGTTGGTAAGAAGACCACTTTCTCAATGGGGTTAACCGATAGGCGTAAAGCGGCCAAAAATTTAGTTGATAGCCGTAAAAAATAAAAAATTTTAACCGTTAGCCGTAAATAGGATAAGAAAGAGTTAACTGTAACTGGAAAAATTAACCGATGGCCGTAAAAGAGCCAAAATTTTAGCCTGTAACAGTAAAAGCTACCACCCCATTGAGACCCTCTCTTATTTTATTTCGCTTATTTCTCTCCAGTTCACGTTGTGAAAAATAGGTGAATGAGTTTACAATTGGAATGCATGTTTTGATGAAAATAATACAAAAAATCGCGGTGTCGTTAAAACCTCAAATTTGCAAATTTCACTTTGTCGTTTTCCATATCACGTCAAAGAAATGGACAAAAATGAGCGCTACACGTGCAACACGAAAATTTCCAACCAATCATATTATTGGCTTGTGACGATGTCGTTGCCGCTGCTGTCTTCGTTGTTTACAGCTTTCTATAGGTTAATTGGCTAAAATACTAGTACTAGCACTCTTACTTAAATCCCAGGAGAAGAAAAAGAAGAAGAAGAACATCAAGAAGATGCTCATTAAACAACACGATGAAATACCTAACGAATAAACGATTAAGCCAAACTTGTGAACCAGAAAAGATGGCATAGAAAGAGGGGGCAGCTATAAGCATGCTTTGCGCACCTATTTGTTTGCCACTCCCGCTGAATCTTAAAGAGGAGTGAGGGAATTTTTAGTTTTAAGGAATAAAATATGTTTGTACATTTTATATAAAATGAACTCGGTTTCCCATGTTTCTGGGGTCGATAAAATCAGGACCAGAAGGTTTGTGGGATAACAAGGCCCCCAATTAAAAGAAAAGCAAAACGTTTGTTCATATTTTTTTACCTGATAACTTTCATTAGAAACCAAAAATGAACGCAAGCGAGTGTTCACTTGTGATGCAACCACCAGCAAAACTGAACGACAAACCGTAAAACACGTACGCACATTGAGGAGTGTTTTGATTATGACTAAATTTTGCAGGAACAAAAGATGCTGTAATTAGTCAACAACAAGATACTGCGCTACGCAACTAGCGAGCGTTGCATAATTGGTCAAAACAATCAAGGACTTCACAGAAATCATTTAAGGCTTCGAGGCAACAAGATCGTTACTGAGCAACGAAGCTCAAAGACTGATAAACAGATTCTAAAAAAAAGCCACTTCGTGAGACTTCACCGACTAGACGAGTTGAATAATAAGCAGTCGTTATTTTGCTGAATTTGTAAGACCCTCGGACGTAGATTGACTTCATGGTCAACTTACATAGTATTTTTTTTTTTTTACATAATAGCTCAATATGAAATGAGACAAACAGATGTTATATATAGGAGCTTGTTTGAGTGTTATTTCTTAGTAAGACATGATGTCCAATAGAAAAAGATGCCGAGCTCAATCGCTCATTGAGCATTGACAATGTCCGAGGGAAGCTGCCACTTCGATTACTAATATTCTTTGTGTCCATTACTATTTAGTTGATGACAGGATCAGTGCTAACTTTGCTTTTCAACTTCTACGTTAGGTGGAAAAAGTAAGCCAAACAGGTTGCAGAAAAATTTTCACCCTTACAGCTCAGAAACACGTGAACGCCCTAAAATGTATCAGGATAGTTGTCTTTTATTAACAAAGCCATTATCTGGCTCGTTCTTGGCTTAACCCCAAGCCTAAAAATACAAACTAAAGTTAAGTAGGTCAACATCAGCCTCAACTGACTTCCACGCATACACAAGACACCTTCATCTTAAATTAGGCATAGATCTAGGTACGTAATTCCAAAAACAGACATTTGTACCTGTAAATCTGCAAAGATCTTGCAATATTCTGTAAGTCTGCGTTTTATTAAACCATCATTTGGGAAGCATTTCTTTGATTTGATGCACCATGTCTAAAAATACGCATAACAGGTTTCTGGCGGGAGAATAATTCTATGATTATCATTTCAGTGGACCTCCTTCAATGTCACCTCCTCCACTTATGATGCTCAAATATTCACCCCTAGGAAGCTTTTTCTCGTATTCAAACCTCTCCTGTTGAATAAATAGCTGAAGTTTGCGGCTAGTTATTTACTATTTTATTAAAAATGCGGGTAAAATTCCATGTCCAAGAAGAAGCGAACTAGATTCCCGTGGGGCGGACTAGGTTATGGCCCGGTCGGATCTCAAATAAAAGTATATTTGGTACAAGGCAGTGGAGGATTCTTTTCTCCGTCTGTATGTATCTAACAAGAAATTCAGTTGTTAGGGTAACCAAATACAGTCCTACCACAATTTCAGATTCAAATTGTTATTATTATTAGAGATTCCAATTATTATTATTTTGTTCAAGTTCACGTTTATTAAAAACACTTTGCACACATGCCATGATTAATCCTTGCCCGCAAAGTAGCCTATGGCTAATCGAGGCAGGAAGGAAAAGTAAAAAAAGTTACAATAATAGGGTTGAAACACAGCAATAAAGATAAACAAATACACGAACATCAACATATTAAATTAACAAGACAGAAAATACATATATTTCAAAAGAGTTAAATGAAACAAGGTATGAATGAAATTAAAATAAAAATTTAATATTTACTTAAAGTGTCAAATAAAGTACGCACGCCAACATAAGTATCCTCCCGTATCAAAATGTACAGTAGCCGACTCCGTAGGGTATTCAAAAATTTATATTTAGGTAGAGCAAGATCACTGTCGGGAATACTGTTCCATACTATTCAGCCTGCTCAGTTCACGTACTCATTGGTTGTCCAATATTTCAGTTATGAGCTGATTTTCTCGAAACGTCTCGCATGACCTAAGTTGTCAGAGGCATAGTCTAAAATGAGGCAAGACATGAGGAAGGTTTATCTCAGATAAGAAAAACTATTTGTCTTAAGAAAAATCAAAGAAAGTTTCTTTGGTTTCGGCGCATTGTACATGAAAGAATTTTACGAAGGCATAATCCTAATTAACATTGGGAGCTCCTACTTATTGGTGTTCCAATATTTCAATCATGGGCTGCTTTTTCTCGAAACTTCGCACATGGCCTTTCCTATCAAAGTGATTGTCCAAAATGAGGCAAGACAACGCCTTTAGCTAGAGGAACGTTTATTTCAAAACATTGAAGTAACCGTTGCCAGACAATTACGCCTGTGCGTGAGCGAATCTCACCTATTCTTCTGTACGTTAACATTTTCACCGATTAATCATCATATGAAGCCTTTCTTCGGTTTCGACGCATTAAGACTAAATATTTGCCAAAAATCTTTTTGCGAGAGAATAATGCTATAATTATCATTGGGACCTCTTGCTAGACTCAGGGACTCATTGGTGTTTTAATATCGAAAAATCTGGCATTACCTTTGCTCTGGGCAAAATAATTGTGCAAAACGACAAGACCACGCCTTTGTCTTGATTTATTTCAGAGTAGACAAATTATTTGTCTTAACAAAAATTAAAATTAAAACATGGAAGGTGCCGAAAACAGACATTTATAGCCTTGCCAAATAAATACATGTATAGGTTTTGTTAAAAAGTTATTTGTTATGTTAACCACAAGGGTTAAAGGAAATTTAGCTGATTTAGGATAATGAATTGGAGAATTACCTTTTTCCTTCTTCCTTGAACGTTCAACTAACAAAGTGATAGTCCAGTTTGACGCTTTGGATAGTGAGGGATGCAATATATACCTTTTCCATAAGCCTATCTCTAATATTATTCTGTGAGTGTTGATTTGCAAATGTAGTCATTACAATGTATTTTTGATTTGTTTCTTAGGTTTGTGCGCTCTGAATCTAAATATTACAAGGGAAATTAGTCGACACACCTATGATAACTGAACTTTGAGGTAAATGATCGATGCGACATGATCTATCTATCTACTTCACAACAGTCGATCAATTCAAAGAACTCATGCACCAAGTGAATGTAACAAGAAAATTCAGTTAAAACATTATCGTCCCAATGAGTGGTTCACGTTCTTCCTGAATTGCTACAGCCTTAGCCTTGCCAACTCTTGCCAAATAAATACACTTATAAATTTTGTTAAAAAGGTATTTGTTAACCACAAGGGTTAAAGGAAATTTAGCTGATTTAGGATAATGAATTGGGGAATTACCTTTTTCTTTCTTCCTTGAACGGTTCAACTAACAAATTGATAGTCCAGTTTGATGCTTTGGATAATGGGGGATACAATATAAACCTATCCGTAAGCCCATCTCTAATATCATTCTGTGAGTGTTGATTTGCAAATGTAGTCATTACAATGTATTTTTGACGTGTTTCTTAGGTTTCGGCGCTCTGAATCTAAAAAAGGGCATAAAAGCATTTAGCTTTTTGGCATTGGGACAGCCCGCTCAGCTCCTGAAAGCATTGGTTTTCCAATATTTCAGTTATGGGCTGATTTTCTTCAAGCCTCTCACACGACCTAATCTTTTAGGGGCATAGTTTAAAATGAGGCAAGACACGAGGAAGCTTTATCTCAGATAAGAAAAACCAATTGTTGAGCCTTATATAGATGGTTTCCTGTGACCACCTGCAGAAGCGATTGCAAGTCTCTCTTCATCATTCACAGGAAAACTGAGTTATTTTAGGTTATTTGTCTTTGTTGCATTTTAAAGAAGAAACCTCAAGACTCCATAAATCACTCTTTATGATGATTTTAGCTAACCTGCGAGCAAACGTTTTTTTCTACCATGGCCTTTCATATTAACAGTCAGTCGCGTCGTTTGTGGGTTGTTAGTCGCTTAGTTGGTTTGTTTACAACTATGTAACTAACAAGTCCTGCAAATGACCTTGTAATGCTTAAAGCCATGCCAGAAAGAAACCTCTGTTCGCAGGGAAATCTCAGCTGCTTTTTTATTCCATTTTATTTTAGTCTGCTATATTTATTTTTCTTTTCCTTGGTATGCAACACCATCTAATGTAGATGGTAATGCAATTACCAAAAACAGACATTTGTACCTGTAAATCGGCAAAGATCTTGCAACATTCTGTAAGTCTGCATTTTTATTAAACCATCATTTGGGAAGTATTTCTTTGATTTGATGCACCAAGTCTAAAAATACGCATAACAGGTTTCTGGCGAAGGAATATTTCTATGATCATCATTTCAGTGGATCTCCTTTTATTTCACCTTCTGCACTTATGGTGTTCCAATATCCGCCCGCACGCCAACGTAAGTATTCTCCTGTACCAAAATGTCCAGTAGCCGACTCTGTACGGCATTCTTAAATTTATATTTAGGTACAGCACGATCACTGTCGGGAATACTGTTCCATACTGTTCAGCCTGCGCAGCTTACGTACTCATTGGTTTTCCATTTTTTTCGGTTACGGGCTGATTTTCTCGAAACGTCTCGCATGACCTGAGCTCTCAGAGGCGTAGTCTAAAATGTGGCAAGACATGAGGAAGGTTTATCTCAGATAAGAAAAACTATTTGTCTTAAGAAAAATCAAAGAAAGTTCCTTTGGTTTCGGCGCATTGTGCATGAAAGAATTTTACGAAGGCATAATCCTAATTAACATTGGGACCTCCTGCTTATTGGTGTTCCAATATCTCAGTCATGGGCTGCTTTTTCTCGAAACTTCGCACATGACCTTTCCTACCAAAGTCATTGTCCAAAATGAGGCAAGACAACGCCTTTAATTAGAGGAACGTTTATTTCAAAACATAGAAGGTACCGATGCCAAACAATTATACCTGTGCGTCAGCGAATCTCAGCCATTTTTCTGTACGCATTTTCATCGATTAATCATCATATGGAGCGTTTCTTTGGTTTCGACGCATTAAGACTAAATATTTGCTAAAAAGCTTTTTGCGAGAGAATAATACTGCTAATGGGACCTCTTGCTAGACTCAGCTACTCATTGATGTTTTCATATCGAAAAATCTAGCATTACCTTAGCTCTGGGAAAAGTCATTGTGCAAAATGAGGCAAGACAACGCCTTCGTCTTGATTTATTTCAGAGTAGACAAATAATTTGTCTTAACATAAATTAAAATTAAAACATGGAAGGAACCGAAAACAGACATTTGTACCTGTAAATCCCCAAATATCTTGCAATATTCTGTAAGTCTGCATTTTTATTAAACCATCATTTGCGGAACGTTTCTTTGATTTGATGCACCAAGTCTAAAAATACGCATAATAGGTTTCTGGCGGGAGAA